GAGGACGACGAGAATCGCAGAGGCGGGGGAGGGAAAAGCCGGAGCGCGTCAGGGGGAGTAGGTGAAAGTTTTTCACAGGGCGGCTAGGGCTCACGATCGAGAGGAAGGAGGAGGACTCGGTCACGAACGGGAGAGGGAGGCCGGTTCGCGAACGAGAGGAAGGAGGAGGGCTTGGTCGGTTCGCGAACGAGAGCAAGGAGCAAGGGAGGCGCGTGAGTTTAGGGATTTAGATATTTAAGGTATTTAAAAAAAAGGATTAAGGATTTTTTTTATTTAAAATGTATATATATATATATATATAAATTTTTGTGCAATTTATTCATGTGCGGCGCCCTAGAAAAATTGGTGTCTCCTGTAGGTAATTTCGACATTCCGGACGCATCGACGCGGTCTGTTTTGCCGTCAGAGGTCGTTTTGAAGAATTCATCGATTTGCGTGTCAATTTTCTCGTGTCGAAAATATGACAACATAGGTGTCTTTTCTTACCAAAATTGGTATTCCAGACGCGTTGGCAATCTATTTTGTCGTCGGAGGTCACCCTAAGGCTCAGAAAGGTCCTATAGGAATTCCTTTTGGGTTTCCTCATGTCAGTTTCATCCTTCTAAGTGCTAGAAGTTGACACCACACACGCGAAATCACAAAAAAGGACAGAAGTGGGTCAAACTTCTAAAATGAGGCGAGTCCCATTTCTAAGGTTCTAAAATAGTTAAAGGGAGATTCTTAAGGCTAGATCCTAAACCCTAGGAGGACTAGACCCCACAAAAAATGAGGTCAACTATCCTAAAACTTTTTAAAATCATATAACATTGCTAGTTTAATAATGTTGAGGAGAATAAACTATTTTGAACTTGCAGTCAAAAGTCATAACGTTGAAACTTAAACAAAGAATAATGACAAATCTCATCCTAGAAGGAGAAAAACAAATCCACATATATGTATGGGGGAAAGAAAGAGATATAGAGGGATGAATGTAAAAGCACACACATGCTTTCATCTACACTGATACATAGCTAAAGGAAAACATGCATAAGCATATTTATGAATTTGCAAATAAAACCATCCCATGAAACAAAGAAAACCATTATTCATAAACATGAAATTCATCACATAGAAGATTAATCATTATCATATACCATTGCACTTCCGTCATCAATGTTTAAAACATATCAAATCTTTTTTGTTAATATGAAAAGAGGAGCACTAGATGAAAAAGAGGAGCACTAGATGTGTTGCCCAATTGTTCCTTCAGATTTGATATTGGAGCAAAGTAGATGCAATCATGGAACATTTGCATATGCAAAAAGGAAATGGTACACGCATGACACCACCATTTAGAAGATTCCAGATACACAATAAAAGCTATCCTTAAAACTTGAGACCACAGTTTTAGTCTCCAACTGTGTCAGTGTTCCACAATTAGATTGCAAATTCAGGAGCACTAATATCCCAATATTTGCTTAAAAACTGTTCACTATTCATATTAATAAAAACTCTACTGGAATCATTGAAAAAATAGCAAAGAAAACAAAAGAAAGAGAGAATGCAGTTTGACCAATTTGCAAAACAAAATTGTCAGAAAAAAATGTAAGATTGCGTGCCAACTAACACAAGCAGCAAGAAGCATTAAATTAATAAAATGAAGCAATCACAACTCACAATTATCAATGATGATGCACATTTTCATAAATGAGTAAAGTGCCAAAATAGTCCCTTGACTATTATAAGTGACCGCTTTAGTCCCATAGTTTATACAACAACAACAGCAACAAAGCCTTAATCCCACCACGTGGGGTCGGCCACATGAATCCTTTTTCTCCATTGCATTATGTTTAGTGTCATATTTTCATTTAGTTCAATAGTTTATAAAATGGCCAAATTAATCTTTAGGCTCTTTAAATTAGGGCTGAAATAGTACTTCATAGGGAACGAAATTGACAATTATATAGACTCTGGGCCTAGAATGAATCCTTGAAAAAATTCAGGAACTATTTTGACACTATCTTATTTCTTAAATTGAATCACCTCGCCATTTTAAAAATCTACCACTTCACACTTCCATGTGAACCATTTGTGACATACCTTGTAACGTGAAGGAAGGCTGCGCATAAGTTTCACACGCAAGCAAAGTCCAATAATTGTAGCCATGCTGCAATGCTCAACGGTAGGCGTAAAAGTGACCCTATATAAAAAAAAAAGGTCACTTGGTTTGGCGATAATTACAACACGTTTAAATTTGTCACGCTATGAAAGAATATTTCAAACTTAAAAGCACTTGCAAAGCTTGCCTGACATGGTTTAACTTGTCATCAACTTCAATTGAGTCTTCAGAAACAACATTCAACTCTTCCAATGAATATGGATGTTCTGGGTCTTTTATATCCCTTACATGGTTTACAAAAGATTAAGGAAGAACAGAAACTAGTAATAATTTGGACAATATTGTTAAACTTGAACATTAGTAACTCGTGGAAAAGCCGATATTAACAAATTAACAAAAATGTCCATTCAATAAGAAGCAATTTAATTAACATACTAAACTGCTCAATAATAAACTAAGCATAAGAAAAAGAAACCCAAAAAAATAAAACAGAGAGCGAGAGACAAAAAAAAAGAAACATGAGGCACGTATATAACAACAAAACAATGGCCTGAACCTTTTTGAGGTAAAAAAAAGAGATTCCCTATGTATAAATCTTGAGTGATTAAGAAACATGAATTTGGATTCACATTTATAGCATTAAAAAGTGCTATTAGCCACTCTGAACTTCAAATATTCTTGAGTCTTAAGATTTCCGCTTAGCTTGTACAAAAATGCATATATTATAAACTTCGGGCCCCTAAATGAAAAGTCTTGGATCAGATCTAAATAGAGAACTATTTATGGTTCATGCAACATAAGCACACCAAACATGGCATAATTCATAGATTGAAGATGCAATCCATAAAAAACTGTATCCCGAAACCACAAACATGCTCTTCTAATGCCACAACCATGTACACATCTTGTATAGTGTTGTTTTTTTTACTTTTTATACATAAAAAAAATTGCAAAACATTTCTTTTTTAACTCTCTTTCTCTAAAGTAATCAGAATAAAATAACAAAGCTAAAGCTTCAAACCCAGATCACGTGTATAATGATGGTATAGAGCTAAAGCTGTGACTTATATTCACAAACAAAAAAAAAACAATAAAATTGCAAATGAAATAATTTTGAAAAACAAGAGAATATGAAATCATAAATTCTACCGAATGGGCTTAGAATGCTCAGCTAAGACTTTAACCAAGCTAAATCTAATTTAAGATAGATTCCTCTATTTAATATATCAAATAAGACTCTTAAGAACTTTATCAAAAGAAAGGTGGGGAGGGTATGTGCAATGCAATTACAGTTTTAAGAACTTGAAGTGTCTGGACAATAAATATTACAGAATTGTTAAAAATTGTAAAGTTAAATGCAAATACAATCAATTAGAAAAAAAAAATTAAACAACACAAGATGGTATGATATGATTCTGCATTATAAGGATATCGAAAATTTCTTGTTGATCAATAGGCTCTTCAGCATACTCATCAGTATTTAGTGATTCATCCCTAAACCGCCTTTCTTTCTTTCCATGCACAACAGGATTGGCGTTAATCAACTCCCTGGGCATTCTTTACCACTATACAAAAACACCTGAGGGTTGAATCTCTGTCTCTTCTTCAAATTTGATTTTCTAATCCTGGAGAAAAGACACATAATGATTTACGGACACAATCTCAAACAAAGAAGAAAACTCAGCAGCAACAACAATAACAAGCCAAATTTCAATCTTCAAAATGTTTCTACTTTCCAAGCATCTTTAGAAATAGAAGCTGCTTGACAATATAGCAATAATTTAAGAAAATAAGAAGAAGAAGCAGAATAACAAAGATGAAAAGGAGCAAGTTAAATGCATTAAACATGAGATAAAGCGAATAATGGACACATTACCATCATAAATTTGGGAAAACGCCACGCAATAAGAAATATATCACACTAACAAAACAAAAAAGTAACCCCTTTATCATGACTATTATTAGCATTGACAGTCAAAATAAATTCACGTAATCATTTCTTATGGTTTAAGTAAAATATATCTAAATTCAATTTTATTTTGAAACAAATCCAAGACATGTAGGAATGGTGAATGCCATCTAAGGCATGGGGGTGCCAGTAAGTAAAGCCAAAGTTGAAAGATGCAAGTATAGCTTCGTCTCTGTAAACAACTTGAATCTAGGGCATGCAGTGAAAACCAAAGCTGGAGGTCCTAGGAGAGCTCGAAGGCACGAGATGGTGTCACGGGGGCAAGCATGACGAATTCGACTATGTCAAAATATGGTTTTGGAGAGGTTGTCAGAAGAGACGAAGGTCGCAAGAAGCAAGAGGTAATGCAAAGCAACGAATGATGAATTAGGAATACTATCAAAATTGAGCGAATTCTAAATTCATGATAAATGAGTTATTTAAGATTACTTACAACACCGCACTCATTATCATTTCTTAATAATCAAATTCATCTTTTCATTCAAATGTAAAATGCTATATGTGTGAAAATGAAACTATAGCTGTGCAATACGTAAACCCTAAGAATTGTGTGCCGCGTATGTAAATTTAAACCCCTTCAGGCTGTTTGGTAGCAGGACTGAGCATGATTTAAGCTAAATCCTACAGGTTCTTAAATCCCGTTTTGCCTTAAATCCCGGTTTTTTGGTAAATTCAGTTGGAAGACGGATTTACGGGATTTAGAGAAAATGAAGCACGCGAAGGGGAGTCGGAGGAAAGGGGAGCAATAAAGGGGTTACCTTCCTCAATGGTTTCGGGTAGGAGGGGAGCAGAAGGAGGAGAAAGATGGGATTTTTGGACGACTTCGTAGGCCTTGATGCCGTCGTTGCCTTCCCAGCTAGCTCTAATCGCGACTTAATCGCGAGGGTTCGGTCACGAAGGCGATTGCTTTATACGAAATCGGGAGGGGGAAGCGGAAGGGTAAGGCGCAGGCGAGGGTTTCGGGGAGGAAGAAAAGTAGAGAAAGGAAGATGGGTTTGAGCTTTAATTGAAATTTATTTTAAGTTTTTCTTTATTAATTTAATTTATTAATAATAATTAATTATTTATTTTTTGTTATCAAATTAATTATAGTTAGATGAATCAATATGTATCTGTACAATGATTAATTAATAAAAAATTAAATTATATACTAATTTTAATTAATTTAATAAAATTCTAGTGATTATTAATTAATTTAATTACTATAAATCAATTGTTAATTAATTAATATTAAACTATAAGTTAATATAATTAGTTTCATAAAATCATTATTGATGGCTAATAGATTCTATAAATATTTAATTATTGATTAACATGATTATAAATGAAAATTTTAAATTAAGTGTAATTATGTATAATAATTATCATTATAATATAACATTAAACGAATATTTCAATTAACAATTAAATCCTAAAACAAGATGTCAAAAAGTTTCACAAGATTTAATCGATTTTAACATCTATCACGTCTCCATAATCACTAAAATTGGATTTTATAATATTTAAAAATCCTAAAGTTAAATATTACTTGCAACCAAACAACAAAAAAGACTCCTATAGGATCCTAAGTTCAATTTCACATATGTTTGCCTTGAATCATGAATTTTTATTAAATCTCATTGGAAGGTGTGTTTTCAAAATTTAGAGGAGCTATGGGTGGGAGAAGGAAAAGAAAGAACATTGTTAGATAGGTAGGAACTAAATGAAAAGAAAAGATATGTGGGAGTTTGTTAAGTTGTGATCTTGTCGTTCCTTCCGAGCTAACTCCAATCATGATTATATTGTGAGGGTTTCAAGCACAGAAGGAGGGAGGGAGGGAGGGGAAGGTAGGCGATGGTTCAAGCGAAGCTGGGAGAGGCAAAAGTGAACGGTAGGTTTTAAGATTCAATATAATTTTATTAAATTACTCATTATTCATAGTGGATTTTTTCAACCGGGCTAGGCCCTGTGGGTTTTCCCCCTTTAAAGAGTTTTCCACGTAAGAACTCGAAGTGTCTCCTTTTGTTTCTTTTATTTGTGTGTGTTAAATCCTCGTGCAATGCTAAGACGATAATTCATTACTCTACCGCCACGAATTTTCTAGCACGCATCACATCCAATTGCACATCCAATTTTCTATTTGGCAAGGCAATCAATAAATGAGAAAAATATTAATATTTTATAGGTAGAAAGTACCTCATAGCTACAAACCCTCAAATGGGTGCATGAATTTAACAAAGGATGAATATTTTTTTTCGAATTTAACAAAGAAAGATTGAACCTAAGGGGGTTATGTGAAACCGCTTAAGCCAAATGAAATTAAACTCCTAAAAATCGAGGCACATTTTGTTATAACAGTGAAATTTTCAATATAAATTATAAAGTTAAACGTGCTCGTTTATGAGCACTCATAAAATGGGTGACCTCCTGGGAAGCTATATCAATAGGGCAAAACTAATAGGTCATCTGACCAAAGTGAACAATACCTTGATGGGTGAGAGTTTGAGTTGTCACAATTGAGGAGTCAAGTCATCTCAATTTCCCGGGCTTTAAATCAAGTTTAAGATTTAATAAATAGGTCAGTAAACTTTATTTTAGTTCCTTTAAAAACATAGAAGTTCTATATAAGCCAGTGATTTTATTTTTTTTATCCTCATATTATATCGCGACCCAACTCGATATAACATGTACAATAATAGGGTATATTAAATAAAGTAAATATAAATATTTTGTCCAAGCACTACAAAATTTGTCCTATAACTGTCGGTTGATAATAAACTACTACTTGACGGCTCCAAGTTTCATTTGAGAGACTTTTTATGTATACTCTAAATTATATTAGAAAGTCACTACATCATTAATAGCATTAAGAAAAACAACTGGAATTATATCTCATTTTAAATTCAAACTTCTACTTCCCTCTCCTTTATCAATATCTTGATATCCAAGACTTGAAGAATGATAATTGACCCTTATCAATCAGAAAGAGGGGTAATATTGACATATGAATCCATTTGGTTGTGCCCTTTCCCTAATAGACTTGTGAAATACATAGTCATATACTTTTTAACCTTTAATATAAACATCACTCTTTGATAGAATTATGATTGATAGGTTGTCTGCCTCCTTACAGTAAGCTTCGAACTTGGGTCGTCTAGTTGGAGAGAAAACTTTCTACCAACTCTTCCACAGTCCTTGCATAAATTCATCATATTCAAAATTATATTAGAATATATCCTTACACAATATTTTTTTAGAAGTTGAACCCGAGTAACAAATATGTTAGAAATCAATGGTTAGAATATGCTTCAAACTCTGTCTCCTAGTTGAAGAGAAGACTATCTACCAACTCCTCCATAAGCCAACCTTACACAAATTCATCATAGTTAAATTAAATTAGAATATCCTTGCCTTTTTTTTCATTTTGATATCATTATATTCCTCAATTCACCAACGATTCCCACACGAACACCATCCAAATCTAAAATGATGAAACCGGCGCCGATCCCTCACAATAATTTCCCTCTCAAAAATCTTCGATATCAATTCAATATATTCATGACACTCACCACACATTCTAAGATTTGTAAGGATTCTTATAGCAGAGCCTGAGTTTGTGTTCAACAAAGCAAAAGCAATGGCAATTCTCTGACTCTGACCTTCAAAACTCTTCAATTTATCAGCCCCATATCCCTCAAATCTCAGCTGTAAATCCATCTGGTAAAGCATCTCCTTCACTTCAGCACTCTGAGAAAATGACTCATCATTTGAAACAAATCTATGCATCTTCCCTTTCACCTCCACCTGGCTAAATCCAACCACCTGAACCAGGCCTCGGTTCACCATTTCCACTCTAATTTTACCAGCTTCTACCCATCTCTGCAGTTCTGCATACATATTTGATAAAATCACAGTCCCCAGCATTAACAGCACCCATCTTCTCCAACTTTCTGTAAACAATTTCTGCTACTTCAATATGCCCATTGATCCGGCAGGCCTTCAGAATGCTTCGCCAGGATGCGTCGGTAGGCTCCACTGGCATGCTCTGAATCATCTCATAGGCCTCATTTAGCATCCCGACACGGCTTAACAGGTCTACCATGCATCCATAATGCTGAGCATTAGGATTTATCTGATAATCAAATCTCATTTGGTTGAAGAATCTAAGCCCTTCTTCAACTCTCATTGCATGACTGCATGCACTGAGCATATTAACACATATAGCTTCATCAGGTTGAAGACCTTGATTTACCATGTCTGAGAACACCTGCAAGGCCTTTTCACAATCACCATGCATTGCTAAGCCTGAAATTACAGCACTGTAAGTCCATAAATTTTTCTCACGCAGTTTATCAAAAATCAACATTCCTTTATCAGGTTGTCCACATTTGAAATACATATCAATCAGGGAAGTCTGTATGATTATGTTTAAGGTTTGGTAATTTTTAAGAAGTGAGCAATGTATGCTTCGGCCGAGATCGAAGCAGCCTAAATTTGAGCAAGAGGAGAGAGCGGCGACCATGGTAGTTCCATCAGGCTTCAGTTTCTCCCAGCTTAGTTTAGCAAAGAGATGAAGACAATCAACCCAGAAACTCATTCTACTGTAAGCTGTGAGAAGAGAACTCCATGAAGCAACTGTTCTTCTTGTTCCCATCAGCTTAAAAATTTTGTAACTGAGCTCAATCTTGCTGCATTTTCCATACAAATAAATCAAACTGTTATGTATGAACACATCATCATTAAATCCAAGCTTAATTGCATGGCCATGCAGCTGAATTCCTCCTCTGATGTCAGAGAGTAAAGCACAAGCCTTGAGAACAAATGGAAAAGTAAAGTTATCTGGATTGACAGATCTTTCTATCATCTCTATAAATAGTTGCAGAGCTGATTTTGGTTGACCATGGTTGACCTTAGCTCTGATGATGACGTTGAAGTCAAACGTGCAGGGTTCGTTGAGATCGAGGAAAATTGCAAGAGCATAGTCGAGACTGCCCCAAGCGGACAGAGCACAGGCCGAGATGAGCTCTCCGGCAGATCGAGGAATGAGGTCAAGGCCAAGCTTTAGGAACCGTGCATGAGCTTGTTTGAAGTCTTCCATGGTTTTGACTTGGTGAAGGGAGAATAGGCATGGTGATGGATTCTGGTTTTTGTGAAGGTATGGTGGTGAGAGGAGGTGTTGGTGGAGAGCTGAACTTCCTACCATGATTCCATTACTGTTATGATGGGCTGATGAAGGAAGAGGAAGAGGTGAACGAAGGTTGAAGGGATGTGGTGATTGGAGATCTGTGCGGAGTTTTCTTAGTATATGAGGAGGAGATTTGAAGACAATGGGATAAGGTTGGAGGAAGGAATGAAAGGGACCCACTTTCATGATCCTATGTGGATAGAATTAGCTTATGATAAAAGGGGAGTGGGATTCGTTCGTGTTCGGTTCGTTTACACCCCTACATGAGATTATGTGGGCCCCAATAATTGCACCCACCTAAAATTGGGTGAGTGGATACATGAGATTGTGTGGGCCCCAATAATTGCCACACACATCACCATTTCTTCCCCTCTCCTTAGTAGAGAATACTATGGTACGACCAACTCAACGTAGCTTTTGTTATTTATTGATATTTTTATAGTGTGCATCTTTAGTTGTTATGTCAGAAATTAAAAGCCAAGTTTGAATTAAGTTATTCTTTTTATTTAAAAAAAAACAACATTGAGCTTTTTTTAAAAATATTTTTTTATATATTAATAAACAGCCCAAATATTTTTTAGAAATGCTCAAAAAAAAAAAAAAAACCGTTTAAGTGTTCTATAATTTTTGTTAATTTCAAAATAAAAACTACTCCAACCAACCAACAACCACAATGAAAACCACACAACTGAAGAGAAAGCAAAAACAACTAATATTTAAGATACCAAATATAATCATATTTCATATTAAAAATAAAATAAAACAAAGTGTAAGAAAATTAACAAAAAAGGCCTCTAAAACAATTATTTGTTATTTTGTTTTTCAAAAAAATTAACAAACTATAATATAATTGGTGAAAACATATGACAAAATATCATCATGCAACATGTTCTTTCAGTTTGTAGTCACAAGCAAAACTTACCAACCATTATAAGATAATGATTATTTAAAAAAAAAAAATTCATAGAATGCGACACAATACAATTGAAAAGCTACATGACGCAGCCATACAGCCTTCATCCTCAAGGCATTAAAATCTATTAGTGCTTCTTCTAGAAATAAATATGAACATAGTACACAACTAAAAATAAAGAGAGTTGGAATAAATCCACAAGCTGAAACTTCTATTTGCAGATCTCCCAGTTTATTCCTTTTTTTTTTTCCATCTATATTTTTTATAATCAATAATCAAGGCAATGTATACCAGCAAAACATAATAGGGGCATTTACATTGATACCATGCAATTCCAATGCATTTACATATCTAACAACTAAACATTCATATTTACAAGTATATAAGTCAAATCTTTAACATCACATCAAAAATATGACCATAAATATCTTTTTAAAAATGAAATGCAACTTTTCGTGTACATGTTTACGGCACCAAAGTTTGAAAAACCTACATTTCAGGTGTTAGGTATGCAAATACATAAGAATTGCATTGCGTCTATGTAAATTTCACAAAATAAATAAATAAATTTATGTTAAGAGTGCTATAGCTTTATTCTTCAGATAAATAATTCCCTTCAAAACCAAGAGAATAATTATTATAAAATACCAAATCAAAATAACACCAACAGGCAAGTAGCCAACCGCATGAAGTTGTCCCTGAAACTCAAGGTATCTCAAACAAACAAAGAGTTCAAATGGATAAGACTCTAGAACATAACACAGAATCAAAGCATTAAAAGCAAATTCGGCAATAACAACTATAATCAGGTTTCAAATCCTGCATTGGGTCGGGCATGTTGTTCAATTTAGAAAGCAATTAAGTCTCTGATATATGCCCCAACAAAATCAAGATCATTCAAAAGCAAGGTAGAATGACGCACCGATGGCATCAAGTCTTCGACTGCCTTGCAATCTTAAACCACTCAGTGTGGAAAGATCCGCTTATGTCAGTCCTCTCGTACGTGTGTGCTCCAAAGTAGTCACGCTGAGCCTTGCACCAGATTGGCAGGCAGCCTCTCCCTCCTGTAAGTGTCAAAATATGCCAAGCTCGCCGACATACCGGGAGTTGTGATGCCGGCATTAACTGCAAGACAGATAACCCGCCGCCATGCCGCCTGCCGTTCAATCATCTCCTTGGCAAAATCAGGATCGACGAGAAGATTCGCCAGATCAGGATTCCTGTCATATGCCTTCTTGATCCTATCCAAGAAGATGGCACGAATGATGCAACCGCCTTTCCAAATGCGTGCAAGCTCGCCGAGCTTGAGATTCCATCCCTTCTCGATACTTTTCGCTCTGAGCAAGTTCATTCCCTGCGCGTAGCTACAGATCTTTGAAGCATAAAGTGCTTGCCTGACATCATCAATTAGCCTCGCCTTGTCTACAGGCTGGCTGCTTAAGATGTCATCAAATCCACCAGAACTGAACACCTTGGAAGCCTCAACTCTTTCTTCCTTCAGCCCACTCAAGAATCTTGAATCCAAGGATGCCTCGATGGTCGGAGCAGCCACGGATAGATCTGCTGCTTGTTGAACCGTCCATTTACCGGTGCCTTTCATTCCAGTTTTGTCAAGGACTTTGTCGACCAGATAGCCGTGGCCCTTGTCATCTTTGATCCCAAATATGTCAGCCGTAATCTCAATCAGGAAACTAAGAAGCTCTCCTTTGTTCCATTCAGTAAAAACGTGCTGCAACTCGTCGTTCGAGAGCTTGCCGACACTCCTCAGCACATCGTAAGCTTCGGCAATGAGCTGCATGTCGCCATATTCGATCCCATTATGAATCATCTTCACAAAATTGCCTGAACCTCCTGTGCCGATGTAAGTCACACAAGGTCCACTATCCAGAACTTGAGCAGCCACCTTGAGAAGAATGTCTTCTATATTTTTGTATGCCTCAAACGAACCTCCGGGCATCAGGGATGGCCCGTGTCTAGCACCCTCTTCACCACCGGAAACTCCCATTCCTAGATAAAGGAGGCCGTGTTCTTTCATGTCTTTCTCTCTCCGTTCAGTGTTTTCATACCATTCATTGCCCCCATCAATTATACAATCCCCAGCCTCCAAGTATGTTGAAAGTGTCGCAATAGTTTGATCGACAGGTGCACCGGCCTTCACGAGCATAATGACAACTCGTGGCTTTTGAATTGAATTGATGAAGGATTGGGGTTGATGGAAGCCATAAACGGGGAGATCTCCTTCGAGCTTGGCACGTTCGATAGTCTCGTCAACCTTGGACGTAGTTCGGTTGTAGACAGAGATGGGGAAACCTTTCTCGGCAATGTTGAGAGCGAGGTTCTGGCCCATGACAGCAAGACCAGCTAGGCCAATTCTTGTGAGGGCCGCCATCTTTAACCTGTTTAGAATGTTAGGCATTATAAACTTCAAGCCTTCAAGAGAGGATTATGAGTCAGAATCTATCAAAAGAAAGATTATATCATGCATCATAGCTGATGTTTTTCTCTCTAAAATGGTTTAAATAAGGGTAGATTGCTTTTTTTTTTTAAATGCTCTCAAATAATCCCTTAATCTCTGTAACTTTGAATAATGCTAGTTGAAGGCAGCAAGGGCAGGGTATAAAAACTTTCGAAATAAGGGCACAAAAGAAGCAGAAATTTGAATTTAAGATATTTGTATTTTAAAATGTTTTTTTTTTTTTTCAAATTATCATGAAAGTTTTTTTTTATTATTTTATAAGAAAAATGATAAAAATAATTCTTATTGATAGTAATTTTAATAAAATAATAGTTTCATCATATAAAATATCAAAATTTATTTTATAGTGACGGCTTCAAATATTTTTGGATCCAAAAAGGTACTTTCGCATCAGTAATTCTAAATTCAGTAATTATATTTTTATAGTAGTTGGTATAAGATTATCAGTATCAAACTTTAAGTCCAATGTATGCATTACTAATTTTCAAATTTTCTAAAAAATAATTTATTTTGATAAAATAACTTCTACTCGACTTTGATCCGATTAGGTTGCAATTTCATGTGCCAGGCATCATAGAGAGCTTGGTGCCGATCAAGTAGAATCTAGGCGCTTAAATGCATAAATAACTTTTTTCATAGATTAGTAGAAAAAAATGATAAGCACGTCTTGACAGAATTTCTCATCAAGAAGATATAATTTTGCATTATGTATCTTTTATTAAAATTTAGAAACAAAAGCTATCTAGCAACTAAATAAAAATAAACATTCTAACATGTAAAATTTGTAGTATAGTATCTTGTAATTATATATATAAGATATTCATTATGAAAAAAACACATCTAATGCCTAAATGTAAAGCCAAATATGCAAGCCATATAAATAAAAATAGTATAATTATGATACAAAACCTGCAATTTAAAAAAATCCTTGAAAAAATTAAAGGCATGAAAATGGCAAACGGTGAAAGGCTCGAAAAGATCTTGCGTGCATATTAATAAATAATAAAGTAAAGCTTTTGGTATCTTCGAGTTTCAACTCTCCAACGAGAGAAATTGAACATAATAAGTATAGAGAAAGAGAAGAAAAATCACATGTAATGTGAAAAAAAAGGCTTCTCTTCTCTTTCCTTTTCTACAAGTTTTCCTCAATGAGCTTTCATCCTATTTTGATATATGGTTTGTCCCAGTCAGCCCCTTCCGCCCCTGTATAGATGAGTCCATTTGTACCACTTTATGTAATGAAATGAGATTTTTGCAAGAAAGTATTATGTGCTTACTTTCCAAAATTGGAAGATCTCTTTTATGTGTAATTATTGGTATGTGTGGGGTGGTCCTCCTTATGCTTTGGGGATCAACTTCATCTTTTCGCTTCAATTTATTAGTACTCTTATAATTCATCTTTTCGCTTGAAGGCCTCTCACAAAACCCTTATTTTTTCTACAATCGTGTTAGATTGCTAGGTAAGGTCATTGCTGTGATCCAATATTTCTTCTTCTTCTGTGTAGAGTAACAAATGAGCTTATTCAGAGACCATTTACTCTTTTGGTAGGCTTATCTGACTAAATTAATTGAACTGTGCAGAAAGAGATATCAAAACTAAATGTACAAGCAAATGATACGATAGTTCTAATTTTAATATCTTTAATTTTGAAACAATATGAGATCATAGTGCTCATGTGATTTGAGCAATCGCACTTCTCAAGGTCATGTTTATCCTCGATGAAACTTTTATCTGTAACGTCAACAGGTCATTCAATCCTTAGTGCAAGGCCAATGTTCATACAACCAAGAATGATCATAACATTATCATTCCATTTAGCACAACTATGTAATTGACAGTAGCATATATAGCAGATATAATAAGGGCCGATAGTGACAACCACATGCACGCGAAGGATAGTAACATTATTTGACTCGCTCAATCCTTACACTGACTCACTCGCTCACGCTCCAATGCACGATCTTCCTTCTGCACAAGTTAATCCTCCACTCTGTTTTCCTGCACTAGCACACTCACTCGATTCATCTTCGTTCCACATATCGCCCCATCTAAATAGCACAAAATCAAACCCCTTGCTCGCTTCGACTTCTACTGTGACTCCTCACTTCAACTCCCGATTCCCATTGCTTGCCTCCCTTCTTTGTCTCTCTAATAATATGAACCGGCACTAATCGGTTCCTATTTTTTGAGGTATTGCTTAAATCAGTACGAAAATTAAGTATTTAAAGTGTAAAAACTATTTTTCATTTACTCAAAAAATAAATAAAAAAATACAACTAAATTTTGAAGATAAGAACAATGAAAAGACCACAATTTGGCACAAACCAAGGCGTACATTCTACAATGGCTAGAATCAAACAAAATTGTGCAAAGAGAAAAAAGTAAAATGTCATACAACTATTCAACAAAAGTTTTAATTTTATTTGACAAACGTGAAGGAAATTTGGAACAAAGCAAATACTCGAGCACATCTCATTCAGCAATAAAATTATGGGCATATTCTACCAATTTCAAGTAATGTGAGTCAAGTATCTTATTTTTCTTTTTATGAGGAACCAAACTGGCCCTTCATATAAATTTAAGATACAGGTTTTGTTTTTTTAAATTTTAATTTGTACAGAGCCAAAGTACTTAAAAAAGAAGAAAAATAAAGTAAGAATATTCCTTGTCATATTCGATCAAGGTGAATTATATAGTTAATAAATTTATTTTAAAATGAATACAATATCAATTTTGAAAATAAATTTATGTTTCACAGAAAAAACAAACATAAGCATACGGGAGAACACTACATACTATAGTCATTGAAACATTAACATGTGAAATACAAATTTAGATTAATTTGCTTCAATTTCAATCATCTCAAAAACAAAAACAAAAAATAATAATAATAAAATAAAATAAAAAACTAATTAACATAAAATTGATCAATTTATTATTATTTTTTCTGTAAGTTGAGTTTCCATTAAAGCTAAGTCAAAACTTATTGCTAAAACGTCCTTCGAATTTGGATCTCGTTGGAGATAAAAGTCACTACCAACTCCTCCACAAGCCTGCACAAATTTATCATATTTAAAATTATATTAGAATGTCTTCTTTTTTATGGAAGTTGAGCCTTAATGACAACTATGTTAGAAATTAAAGGTTAAAGTATGATATGAACCCCTGGTCAAAGAAAACTCTCTACCAACTCCCAACAAACAAATCATACATTTCTATAAGCCATTTCCTTAATGTTCATCGTATTCCTGGAAGCCATGATCTTCAAGGCATAAACAAAGCATCACCTTTTCCTAAATTGAGGAAACTGTAAATACCATAAAAAAATTAATGCTCACATGAATCTTGCACATTTTCTCCCTTCACATGAACGTTTCCATAATCCAATCCATAGGCTTTTGATTTCAAGGACTCATCTCATGGCAAAACTGCACTACACTTCCAAGCCATGTGAAAAAAAAATGCTGGTGAAACAAAAGAAGGTTAGTACCATAATGACTCATGAACAGACCATTCAACTTTTCAATTCATGTTGCAAGATAAAAAGCTAGCCATCTAATGCCCAAATGAAAGCCCTGGTTCACCCACATCCCAAAATCCGAAAAAACACAAAGACTATAAAAGGAATAAAAAAAAGCAATAAAATATATAAATTGTGAAAGAAATGGCAGGAAAGGGGAAAATGAGCTCACTTCGTCGAGGATTCAGAGGTTGGAGTGGCCATAAAACAGCAAAATGTTAATTTTTTCTTGGGGAGAGACAATAGCGGAGGCTTTCGAGTTTGTATAACCAGAGGAGAAAATCGTAAAGCCATGCTTCTTCACTCGGGTTTCCTCGAATCGCAGCTAGGGTTTCCTAGGTGATTCAGAAGATGAAGTTGTTAAGCCACCCTTCCTGAGTTTGGCAACGCTGCCTCGTTTGAGAGGACTTCCCGCTCCTTTGTGGTGTGGTGGTAGCGGAGAAAACGGAGGCGCATCATTTCGCCGAGCATTTACTCCAAACTTTTCTTCCACCGCTACGGGGCAATTCTGGCCAATTTCGAAACGTGAAAATGCCCAAGTTAAAGGGCTGTTTGGTAGCCGGTTTTAAGCAGAATTTAAACTAAATCCTGCCAAACCGCAAAAAATGCCTCCGTAAAACCAGAGCTCGCGTAAATCCCAAAATGACGCCGACTCACGAAAAATCCGGGACGCGCGAAAAGGAAGAATGGCGCAAACAAGCTTAACTTCCTCAATGGTTTCTGGTAGGAGCGGAGCCGAAGGATGAGAAAGATGGGAGTTTCGGTGGACTTTGCAAACCTTGTTTCTATAAGAACGATCCCGTCGTTGTCTTCCCAGCTAGCTCTAATGGCAACTGTATCGCTAAGATTCGTTAACGAAGGCTATGGTTTTGGGCGAAACCTGGAGAGGAGTGACAAAAGCGAGGGTTTTGGACAGAGACGGGAACTTTGCCCGAAAATGAGGGAAGAGAATGGAAGCGAAGGTTTCGGCAGGGAGGAGAAATGGGTGTGGTTTTAATTTATTTTTATTGAAGTTAATTTTATTAATTTTGATTAAAAATTAATAATTGAATAATTTTAAATTAATAGACTTTGCCCGAAAATGAGGGAAGAGAATGGAAGCGAGGGTTTCGGCAGGGAGGAGACAAATGGGGGTGTGGTTTTAATTTATTATTATTGAAGTTAATTTTATTAATTTAATATATTAAAAACTAATAATTGAATAATTTTAAATTAATAGTTAATAAATAATTAGTTTTACATAAAAAAATGTATTGATTAGTAATTTATATAGCTAATTATTATTTAATAGACACTTTATTTTTTTCGATGCTAATTTGTATTTTTTATTTAATCTTTATTTTTGGATGTTTTTTTTAAATTTGAGGATTTTTTGGGGGAACTTCTTCTTTCAAAAAAAAAAAAAAACTCACTTATAAATAGTTAATATTATCATTTGAATTTAAAAAATTTTGTGTTTTTGAGCACTATTAGTTCTAACTATTTTAATATAAATTACTATAATAGCCTAAATAATTTTAAATTATAATCATCCTTTTTAACATTGATAAAAGTATTTACAAAATTTTATATGGCTCTTATTCGGCAACACTTTATGCGATTCGTGGCCTCAATTCGGACAATATCCAACTTCGAAGTAGAATAATTTAACAACTAGGTTATGAAAAAATATTAAATATCCTAAAAATGACAAATCAACATGAGCATCAATCGCTTAAGCTCCATTGGAAACTCCACATAGAAACGCAGATCTATTTCAAGTGGGAAAAAAACAAAAGGTATCATTGGGAAGAAAAGAGCTTTTAGTGTAATTAATGTAGCCAAAGAGAAGAAAAAATGTCACTCATATTTACTGCACTCTAAAAATCTTCTCAAATATAAATTATTGCATACGGACATGCGGTGTCCGATCTACATCGCAGATCACAGTGATATACGCTGATGATGTATTTTGGTGGGTCCCACTTTAAATTTTTTTATTATTTTTATTTTTAAAAATTTGATTGTATCCGTAGATCACTGTGATCTACGGTGTAGATAGGGCACCACATGCATCTCTGCATGGGGTGTCCTTGTGCAATAATTTTTCTCTCAAACGAGGCTTCATTCCCAGTGAAGTTCTTTCAAAAGTCACGTGGCAGAACGAAACGGGTATCATCGTTCTGTTCTAACGCAATAAAAAATCTCTTTTTGAGACATTCGGATATGCTCTTTTACTGAAATATAAATTTACGTGTCGGCATTCATGATTGCACGATTGTGTTCTCAAACAAAGCATGAGTCGCTCTCTAATTTTGTTGCTATGATTCCCCTGCTTCCACTGTTACCTTTTTTTTTCTTTTTTTTTTTTTTTTTTTGTTGGCTCCTTTGACATATCTACACCTGAACATCAATGAGTTGCTTGTTCCAGTTTAAATGATTCTAATGGTGCAATAATTGAATTGCTTCTTACTAAAATATGTCATTCGTGGGTCTGGGTGTGCTTCAATAATTTTAATTATTTGATGAAAATCCTTTTTGTTGGCTTCCCCAATTCTTATGCTTTAACTTAATACAAAGAAAATTACTTTTATCAGACACAGGGTTGCTTTTGATTTTTCATGCGCTTCCATACATATAAATACACCATGGAACTCGAATGCATGTTTCTACCATATGTACAGATGTGTACAGATGTTTTGACATTTATGTGTTGTGATGCACAGTTGTTACAAGACAAAGTTTCTGTTTGTATATTTTTTTCTTCAGGTTTGGGGGAATGATGAGTTTGTTGAATCAATTAAAATTCAGAAGGGTGCAATGTCTGCACTGCATTCAATGAGGAGAAAAGTGTTCTATAGGAGGCCAAAAGAAGAGGGAATCCAGAAGAATAAAGTTATAAACCATACTTGCTTTGCAGAATCAGATCATTGATTTGAGTTTAATTTCTTATTTTTGTTATGCTTTCAAATTTTTTAAATGATCAAGAAGGTCATATATTTAAGTTGTGATTTTTTTTATAGACCTGTTATCAAAGAAACGTATCAAATGTGAATATGATATTTCATGCTTTGTTTCACATGCTCATGCATAAGTTTGGTGATTCTTTAGCAACGAGCAAAGTATGCTTCGGCCGAGATCGAGTGAGCTTAAATTTGAGCATGATGAGAGAGCTGCGGCCCTGGAGCTTTCTTCAGGCTTCAGTTTCTCAAAGCTTAATTCTGCAAAGAGAAGAAGACAATCAACCCAGAAACTCTTTCCTATTGCAAGCAGAGAGAAGATCACTCCATAAAGCAACTGTTCTTCCTCTTCTTCCCATCAGCTCAAATATTTTTTAAATGAGTTCAATCTTGTTGCATTTTCCATACAGATTAATCAAACTGTTATGTATGAACACATCATCATTAAATCTGATGCGTGTCAGAAAATTCACGACAGTAGAGTAATGAATTATTGTCTTAGCGTTGCACGAGAATTCAGCACACATAGATAAAAGAAAAGAGGTAAGCATGATGAGACACCTTGATTTTTTACGTGGAAAAACCTTAAAAGGGGAAAAAACCACGAGGTCTAGTCCAGTTGAAATAATCCACTATGAATGATGAGTACACAGATTCATTCTTCACCTAAATTATGGAAGATATAATTACAATGTTGCATAATTATAATCTGACTGCAGTTCTTAGTGACAAGTTGCAAGGGTTATTATTGATTGTTGTGGAGGTAGTAGTCCGTTGTGAGTGTGGTAGATAGTTGCTCCAAAAGCGTTGATTGGTCATAGAAGTCCTAGTAAGTAGTTGCGGGAACAGTGAATCACGTAGACTGTAGTTGGCAGGTATTGATAACATTCGTAGGCCGCGGGGCTCAGAGTCGAGAACTGCATGAGTTGTGACCACGTTAGTCGTTGAGACGAATGTTGTTGACGTCCGTAGGTCGCTGGGGCTAGATTCAGGAGTAGTATGAGCTGATGACCACGTAGGTTGTTGAGACGAGTATTGATGACGTTTGTAGGTCGTTGGGCCAGTATGAGCTGATGACCGTGTAGGTCGTTGTTGGCATATGAACCGTAGTGGTGAGCAGTGGTGACGTCCACCGTTAGGCCGGAGTCGGGAGCTGCATGAGCATATGATCATGTAGGTCGTTGGGGCGAATATTGATGAAGTCCGTAGACTGCTAGGGTTGGATTTAGGAACTGTATGAGTTGATGACCATGTGCGTCGTTGTTGGCATTTAGACTGTAGTGGTGAGCTCATGTCCCACATACGGGAGAGGATTGCTAGAGTTTCCAAGTTACGACGTTGACTGAAGATGTCTGGTCGACGGTGGTTGACGACGATCGGCGGAGATCGATGACAGTCGGTAATGGTCGATGGCGTTCGGCGGTGTTCGACGACAGTTGGCGGTGGTCCCAAGGCTTCCGCCCTCCTCTCCCGTGCGAGGGGTAGGGGTCTATTCATAATGTTTTGAATGTCAGTATTGCAGGAATATGAAACATTTTGATCGGACGATCTGAAGAGCTTCCCTCAATCATATGTCGTTTAATGGACATTTAAGTGTCTTAACGATGTCAAAATTGAGCAATCTTGGGCTCGTTAGATTCGTCTTATCGAGACACTCGATTCGAGTATAGACTTACTAGCGTCGGCATTAGTTCTTCCTCCCAAATGTGTTCGGAAATCCTCTAAGAGTGATTTAATGACTTGATATATGTCTGATTTGACTCTGATTGGACTAAATTTGATATTATTAGGCTCGTCTCATCGAGTCGGTCAGTTTGACAATAAGTTTGATGAAATCGGAGCTTCGCATGACACTTCATTGAAAGTTTGAATGTTTCTTTCTCAAAAAAATATCTCGAGATTCGTGTCATGTCTCGAGATTCATGTCGGGTGATGAAAATTTGTTGGTGGCGTATCAAAATCCAAGCGTGATTACATGACCATGCAGCTGAATTCCTCAACTGATGTCAGAGAGTAAAGCAGATGCCTTGAGAACAAATGTAAAAGTATAGTTATGTGGATTGATGGATTTTTCTATCCTCTCTTTATACAGTTGTAATGTTGTGTGGTTGATTGTGTTTGATTTTATCTCCGATCAGGATGTTAAAGACAATCATGCAGGTTCAATCGAGCTCCACTTTTCTTGATCCAATGCGGAGAGAATTAGCTTCCAATAAAAGTGGAGGGGGACCCACCTTTTTTGCCTCGCATTTGCTTGATGATATTAGATTTGGTGATAGTGAATAAAAAAGATTGTGTGGGCCCCAATAATTGCCACATCACCATTTCTTCCCGTGTTTGTAAAGATTACTACGGTTCGTCCAACTCACAGAAAATTGTTACTTCCGGCGAACTGCATGTGTGATAATCCGGCCATTTCACCATGCACTTCTCATGGTTGGAACATCGCCAGTGTCTAGACATGCGGACACCGAACGAAATAATTCCTCCCAGCTCGCTTACATTTTACGTGTTGATATTTGTACAGTGCATCTCTAGTAGTTTAATGCACGTTATACAAGAAATTAAAAGGTATCTTTGAAACATGTCTTGTTTTTGATTGAGCTGTGTTATTATTATTATTATTTTAAACAACCCTAATAATTTTAAAAAATGTTCAAAATAACTTTTCAAGTGTTTCATATTATTTTTGCTATTTTCAAAATGAAATCTACAACTAATCAATTATCATCATGAACACCCCCATCACCAAACCAGCTGTCACAACCCAACTCACCATTGTTTACTAAAACAAGTGTTTCCGACAAGGTAAAAAATAACTCACATATAAGATAACAAATATATTTTTATTTCATATTAAAAAATAATTAAAATATAACAAAGTGAAAAAATAATAATAATAACCCAAACAGCCACAAAAAGCATTATTTGTTATTTTGCTTTTCAAAACAATAAGATGCTATAATATAATTGGTCGAAATATACGTCAAAAATATCATCTTGCAACACCTTCTATTACTTGAAAAATTATTCCATACGGACAGACATGCATGCGGTGTCTGATCCTGACCGTAAATCAGGTGATCTACGGTCAGGATGTATTTTGATGGGCCCCACCTAAAATTTTTTAAGAAAAAAACTGAAATATATCCTGACGGTTAGGATCGGACACCGCATGCAGGGAGATGCATGCGCTCCGTATGCAATAATCTTTCCTATTACTTCGTAGTCACATGCAATGCTTTACGAACCATAATTAAATAATGAATTTTCTTTTCAAATTTTTTTTCAAAGAATCGACACTAAAAAATTTGAAAACTCCATACCAATGTTTTATCAGCCCAAAAAAATAATAACAATAAATTACCGATAAGAGCGCTACAGCATTATTCTTCAGATTGCATTTCCCTTCAACTACGAAAGAAAAATTATTAGGAAAAACAAAATCAAAAGAACACCAACCGCACGAAGTTTAAATCCATGAACTCTTAAACATAACACAGAGTCAAAGCACAAAAAAGCAAAATTCAACAAAAACAATAAGTATAATCAGGTTTCAAATCCTGCATTGGGGCGGGTATGTTATTCAATTTAGAAAGCAAATAAGTCTCTGATATATGCCCCAACGAAACCATAATCATTCAAAAGCGTGGTAGAATGACGCACCGATGGCATCAAATCTTCGACTGCCTCGCAATCTTAAACCACTCGGTGTGGGCTCCAAAGTAGTCACTCTGAGCTTGCACCAGATTGGCAGGCAGCCTCTCCCTCCTGTAAGTGTCAAAATATGCCAAGCTCGCCGACATACCGGGAGTTGTGATGCCGGCATTAACTGCAAGACAGATAACCCGCCGCCATGCCGCCTGCCGTTCAATCATCTCCTTGGCAAAATCAGGATCGACGAGAAGATTCGCCAGATCAGGATTCCTGTCATATGCCTTCTTGATCCTATCCAAGAAGATGGCACGAATGATGCAACCGCCTTTCCAAATGCGTGCAAGCTCGCCGAGCTTGAGATTCCATCCCTTCTCGATACTTTTCGCTCTGAGCAAGTTCATTCCCTGCGCGTAGCTACAGATCTTTGAAGCATAAAGTGCTTGCCTGACATCATCAATTAGCCTCGCCTTGTCTACAGCCTGGCTGCTTAAGATGTCATCAAAACCACCAGATTTGAACACCTTGGAAGCCTCAACTCTTTCTTCCTTCAGCCCACTCAAGAACCTTGAATCCAAGGATGCCTCGATGGTCGGAGCAGCCACGGATAGATCTGCTGCTTGTTGAACCGTCCATTTACCGGTGCCCTTCATTCCAGTTTTGTCGAGGACTTTGTCGACCAAGTATCCGTCGTCCTTGTCATCTTTGATTCCAAAAATGTCAGCCGTGATCTCGATCAGGAAGCTAAGAAGCTCTCCTTTGTTCCATTCAGTGAAAACGTGCTGCAACTCGTCATTTGAGAGCTTGCCGACAGACTTGAGCACATCGTAAGCTTCGGCAATGAGCTGCATGTCACCATATTCGATCCCATTATGAATCATCTTCACAAAATTGCCTGAGCCTCCCGTGCCAATGTAAGTCACACAAGGTCCGCTATCCGGAACTTGAGCGGCCACCTTGAGAAGTATGTCTTCTATATTTTTGTACGCCTCAAACGAACCTCCAGGCATCAAGGATGGCCCGTGTCGAGCACCCTCTTCTCCGCCAGAAACTCCCATTCCTAGATAAAGGAGGCCACGCTCATTCATGGCTTTCTCTCTCCGTTCTGTGTTTTCATACCATTCGTTGCCCCCGTCTATTATACAATCGCCAGCCTCCAAGTATGTGGAAAGCGTTGCAATGGTTTGATCTACGGGTGCACCGGCTTTCACGAGCATAATGACAACTCGTGGCTTTTGAATTGAATTGATGAAGGATTGGGGATGATGGAAGCCATAAACAGGGAGATTTCCTTCCAGCTTGGCACGTTCGATAGTCTCGTCAACCTTGGAGGTAGTTCGGTTGTAGACGGAGATGGGGAAACCTTTCTCGGCAATGTTGAGAGCGAGGTTCTGGCCCATGACAGCAAGACCAGCTAGACCAATCCTTGTGAGGGCCGCCATCTTCAACCTGTTTTGAATCAAGAGAGGATGACGACTCAGAATCAATGAAAAGAGAGATTACATAATGAATTCTATCTGATGTTTTTCTCTTTAAAATGATTTAAACAAGGGTGGATGGCTTTAAAAATATGCATAAATTAAATATTTAAGATGAGATAACTATTTGAATGGTAGCATTATGAGAGAAACTTGAATGAATAAGGTAACGTTGAAGCAATACAGAAAAAGAGTTCTTAAAAAAACAGTTATTAAAAATTAAATTTGAGGATAGTGTAACATTTTGGAATAGATTTTCTTTAAAAATACTTGGAAAATAAAAGAATTGGTTATGGCCATTAGAACTATTAAGTGAAACCTTTATTTATTCTACAATCGTATTAAACTTATGATTGCTAGCCAAGTTATTGTTCGCTTTGTTCACATTCAGCCAAGAAGTACAATCTTATGCTTTGAAAGACATTGTGCGAGTTCTTGGCATTTGCTTAATAGTTCATAACTTAAAACTTTCCTTCCTCTTAAAATTTTCCCATAATTTGTAGCAATCAATTTAAAATGTATACTTATATTAATCTATTGCTTAACAGTAATTGTGAATTCTTTTCATTTATCAATGACAAACAGTTCTAATTCAATCCATCCTACATTAAGGAGAAACAATAAATTTCTTCCCAAACGATCAACAATAGAGAAACTGGGTATGTTAAGAAAAAAAGTGAACAAATCAAACGAAAGAAATTATACTCATCCGATTTCCATTAATGTCAAAAAAGAATTCACATACATAACACCCACTTCTAGTGTATGTACATATCTAACACCTAAACTTTGATTACTGCATTTTCACAACCCAAAATCACATAAAAATAAAAGCTTTCTTAACTTTTAAAAGTAAGATACACCTTTTCATGCATAGGTAACATGGAGTATATGTAAGATTGAAATTTAGGTGTTAGATATATGTAAATACACAATAATTGAGTGATATGAATGTAAATCTTCCAAAACATAAAACCAATTCAAATGTGTCCCCTATTTATCTTTCGCAAGCCTTATTGTAACCGCCCAGTCAACCCATGCCCATGTTGGGTAGGCCGTGTTAAGGATATGAACATTGAGAACTCTTGGAAGCTACTCTCTCTTATATTAGTAAAAAAAATAAAGAAACTTTAGGGTGCTTAAAGATGTTGATAGAAAATGAGGACTAAGAGAGGAACAAGATTGTCACAATCATTTACTTTTAGTTTATAATATGTTATATGAAATTGCAGAGCATACAACTGTATAAATTCTAAGAAAACCAAAATGCTACGTTAATGACTTAGATAACAAAAAAAAAAAAAAACCCTACAAATGCGCGACTGTACTTTAAAGCCATTTCACAACATCCGAACCAACTGGATTTATAAACATATTGTCATTTATAACAAGGTTATATCAAAAAGCATTAAACATATATAGTTTTACATTGGTTGTGGTTGTGGTTGTGCTTATGATAAACATTTAAAATTTCATCCCTGGCTATAATGACACAAGTAGACTAAATAAGATTGACTTAGAAATAAATGAGATAAGTAAAAGAATAAAAAATAAAAGGGCTTAAATCAGTGGAACAAAGAGTATGCCTTGTTTATTCATGTTGCTTCAAAGAGAAGGACATCATTTCCTAAAACGTGTTTATAAAAACTGCTCACTTCAATAAGATTAAAGTTTGTGAGGTGAAGAAGAAAATTCTAACTAAAAAACAAAACAAAACAGAAAACCAGAAGCCTAATCAAATGAGGCCTGAATGCTAATATGAAATTTAGGAGGTGGGGAAGAATAACATGATCAATAATAAAGAAAAAAAATCCATTGGCATTCTTAAGTTGAGCCATCCACTAGCTGAAGTAATAATCGTTCCGTTGTTAACTAAATACGAAGAAAAAAAAAATATGAGGAGTAAATGCATAAATACTCTAATTATTTTCCATCCAAGTAGTTTGGGAAAAGAAAAGATTGAAGTATGACAACAACAACAAGAGATCTTTATCCCACTAAGTGGGTCGGCTACATGAATCCTTTTTCTCCATTGTGTCCTATTAAGTGTCATATTTTAATTTAGTCCCAATAAATTAAGACCATTTTTTATACCACATGCCCAAAGACTTTTTAGGTCTACCTCTACCTTTTTTTTAACATAAGTTAAATCTAAAGCATCTAATCTCCTAACCGGAACATCAGGTGATCGATGTTTAATGCGACCAAACCATTTAAGACAACTCTCTTTAATCTTATCTGCCACTGGAGCAATACCAACCCTTTCACGGATACATTCATTCAGCATAAAATAAACGATTGAGGTAAACAATTAAATTGATAAGATTTACTGGTGAACAAGAATAACAATGATTAATTAAAAAAATTCATTGCATTTTTAAGTTGAGACATCCACTAAATGAAGTGTTAAAAGTTATATTATGAAATAATTTATTCCTGTGAAAAGTTATGAGAAATAAATTATTTTCTTAGATTAAGAGTAATTTACTTTTCTAATTTATCTTTAGTTCTTTGGATTAAGAATTATTTCTTTTCTTATTTTAGATTTTTATGTTTTATGTTATTTTCTTTATCTCCTAATAATTAATATGAATTGACTATTGGAGATATTAGGTGATATATCTTTTCTTTCATATTATTTCATGTTTATTATATTTCCTATTATAAAATTTGTGTAAGGGTTATTCATACCCCATCTCATATCAATAAAAACCCCATTAAATTTCACATTTTTTTTTGAATCATAGTATGAGAGCTAGGTCCCCTACACTAGCCACGGTCCTCCCTCAAGAGTCGTTGAACTCCCTTCCTCCTATTCACTCTGCAAAAAGGGAGGGACGTTTTTCTCTTCCCGATCTTACGATCCTAATTATTGTCCTTTTTGATTATTTCTCCTGGGTTTTTAAATTCTCTCCAATCGAGATCAAAACGCGTGGTTCGTCATCTCGTTGTTATCATCATCAATATCCGGGGCATGGTTGATGAGGGAAGTAGGAAATAGAGCTGGTGATATGGATTTGAATTTGCAAAGAGGTCTTTCTCGTTCTTCTCGTCCCATAATCTTGACCCTGACTCCAATCTCGCTCTCAGCTAGTTGCCAATTTCGATTTCATCTTATTCAAAAGAAAGCTGCACTCTTTAAGCTATGTCTGGTGTCGCCATGGAGACGTTAGCTTCTAATGTTCCCAACTCCCCTTCTCATGTTGCGACTGAAGGGGATGCGTTACTTGCTGGTTTCAGGGCGCCAACTGATATGAATTTGATACATGATTTTTACCGATTAAGCAAGAGCTTGGTGAAATGAAAGAAAGGAATGGAGTTTCCACTCCCATATGTGACGAGGGATCTCCTGTTAACCTTGTTGATGTTGTTTATCCAGAGAATTGGAGGCAGCACCACCGGAGGTGATGGTTCATCTTCATAGCAGGAATTACTCCGGCTTCCTGGTTTACAGCAGTCTGACTTCTCTGATTTCCTGCAGTTGTCCATATTTTCATCAGCCCAACATACTAATTTTCAGAAATCTGATTTCCCTAATTTTTTGCAAATCCTTATCGTTGGAGGTGCAGCTGCCCCACCACCTTCCCACTATTTTTTTTGCGTCTGTTCGACTTCCTGGTTTCCAGCAGTCTGATTTCACAGATTTACTGTATTTATCCATATTTCCAGCAGTCTGACTTCCCTCATTTTTTGCAACCTTACAGCAGCAATCCTCTCTTACCACTGCTCTGCATCCCAGCTGATGTTAGGCTTCTCTAAAGTGATCCCCTCAAGATTGACCAGTCTACTCTCACTAGCAAATCTCTTCCGTAACTAAGAACCATGGCAATGAGGTCTTCTCTGGTTTTACCAGCAAATAGAGCTGGAGGCAAGGCAGTTGTCATTTCCACTGGCGTCCATACATTCTTTGGTAAGGCTGCCCACCTTATTAATTGCACCAACCAAGTTGGCCACTTCCAACAAGTTCTCACCATCATTGAGAACTTCTGCAATTGCTCCATCGCCATTGGCATGCTTATAGAGATTATAGTCATGCATCCTATCTAGCATGACAAGTACAGGAATGGGATTGACAACCTGCTCGTCCTCCTGATTGCAGGCATCCCAATCGCCATGCCCACTGCCTTGTCAGTCAATGTGGTTATTGGATTTCATCGGTTATCACAGCAAGGTGCAATTACAGAAAGGATTACTGTCATGGTTTGGATGCTTGTAGATCTTGAAAAGGTCATTGGCACCATTCCAGGAAAGGTGCTCCTGAGCAGATACATAGCATATCCAATGCCAGGGAGGATGTCCTAAGGTTCATAAATTTGTTAAACATGGACTTCGATCTCTTGTTGCTGCTATCCCGGATGTTTCTCCCCCAGAATCTTTCCTGCATTAGGTCCTTCTCCGGAGTTTTTACCTACAGGAGACCCTCCTCTAGAATCTATCTTGCAGCAGACCCTCCTCCAAAGCTTTTTTCCTACATCAGACAATACTTATGGAGCTTTTTCCTGCAACAGGTCTGCCACCATAGCTTTTACTTTTTTTTCTACAGATCATATTCTGCAGCTTTTTCTGAAAATTGTCT